TTCAAAATTAGAGGTACCAGCCCTGGCCACTTACACAGATTGACGATATGCATGGTTTTTCTCTTTGTAAATGAATAGGTAATGCACGTACGAGTATACACTATGTGTTAATAATAAAATACCGTACTGTACATGATGAAATTTACCCTTTATTGAGAGGTACCAGCCCTGGCCACTTAACAGATTGACGATCTGCATGTTTTTCTCTTTGTAAATGAATAGTAATGCACGTACGAGTATACACTATCTGTTAATAATAAAATACCGTACTGTACATGATGAAATTTACCCTTTATTGGTGAATATCGATGACACGTGCTTGATATTTCGCGAAGACTTCGAGGGATTTCTGAGCTAAATAATATTTACCTAATGCACAGTCCATTACCGCATTCAGATTTAGAGGTGGTTTGAGCTGACACCTTCGCCATCAGCCTGAAACTTGATCGATACATTCTGTGTACGCGGGTACGCGCACATGAAACCCCTTGCATGCGAATATTTTTAGAAAAAAAATAAGACTCCCGGCCAGCTCAAAAAAATTATCTGGCTAAGCGTTACAGAAATGTAAACACGGGTAAACAACTGCAATTAGGGGCTCATCATCACTGACAGACGAAATTCTTTCATTTTGTGGGTATGATTGCTGTGTTAATGCTGAAATACTTTTAGGCCCATCACCTAAATACATACTATCTATGTTATGGGCTCATGGCTGAGAAGTAAAACTAGTGCCAACCCTGTCGACATGACGCGGCACTGCACAATTGTGAAGAACTCAATGTAGTATTGCAGAGCGAGAAAAATTCAGAACTGCACGCATCCGCAATTGCTTATTTAACTAATTTAGAAAACAATATTGCTCTCACTGCGCGAGCTATCTATCGGCAATGTGCATGTTTCCTTCCCGATTCCACATCATGTATTCCCTTCACTTCAAGGTCAACACTATTGGGCAAGCGCCGCATCTGACGGCAGAATCGGACCCTTGTCCTGAAGCCCCGCTATTAAAATCGAGCGCCGCAACACAAAAGAGCGACGTCAGTTCAGGGATCTCGACGTTCAGTTATATGCATATGCTTGTTAGCTTTCAAGAGTCTTTATACATGGGTTCAAAGCTTTCGATATGCATGAGTGACTTGTTTTGTTCGGACTTGACCGTATACATTGGTTGTACCGGCTTGGACAATCGCAATTACCGATGCAAACCTTACTTGATTGACATTGCTTTTGGCAATCGAGGCTAGCTAGGTCATCTGGCGGTAATTACAGATGCGAAGCGCGAGTTAGCAGCGAAAAACAAATACCAGAGAAAGCGAGCAGCGCAAAGCAGCCGCGAGTTCCCCCACTTGCAGCGAAGAAAGGCGTCTCTTTTTTTTTGATGATGATAGTACTAACAGCACCATATCGCCTCACGGTATTGCAGTTCAGTACGCCGCCGTTACATATTTGCATGTTATTTTGATACAACAGCCGAAAGGTGCAGTTACCGTTCTCTAAATTGGTAGGTGTTCTGTGGTCAGATCATGTATGAAACTTCGATCCGAAAGTCGTCAACGAGTTCACGCCTGTGGACACCTACTTTGTGTACTGGGACGGCGAAGACTCTACTAAAGGAGGCTACTATGACGCTGGCCTTCTGCATGTGACTGGTGACTTGCCATGCTTTTATAAACCGCATGCTTTAGCTTATTTGTGCTCTTCAAATCAGGATACGCAGACCTATGTTTACATTTCTAAGCGGCCTTTTTTGTTTCTCAAATGGCTGCTCAATGTCGACGTGCATGGTTGGCCTTGCAGCTACGCGCAGTTTGATAAAAAAGGACACGATGCTTATTAACGCTTCTCAGTACCATCGTGAATCTCTACAATCTCGCCCAGGTATCTGTTCTTCTAAACAAGATTTGTATTTTACGCCATCGCGCCGTTTGCTAAAGCACTACCCTGTCAACGTGAAGTACATCGATTCTTGGTTCGCTCAGATGTCGTCTGCTTTTGCCTTCCGCGTCAATGACGATGATGAGATTGTTTATTTCTATTGAGAAAACATTTATGCAGCATTATAAAATATATTTTAGTAACAGAAATATTATGGACTCTTGTATTAGTGTAAGACTCGTAATAAAACACGTATATAAAAAAATACCTAGTCTGCACCTGGTATAACTGTCAGTTCAAGCGCACGAGTAAACAAAAAGGAAGAGAGACAAGCGCTTTCTCGCAACTAAACTGTTTATTAGAAAAGGAAGAATATATATACAAGCCATCACACGCATGCGTTCTTTTTTGATTTCCTGTATATATATTCTTGTTTTTCTAATAAAATGTTTAGTTGCGAGAAAGCGCTTGCCCTCTCTTCCTTTTTGTTTATTCTTGCGCTTGAACTGACAGTTATACCATGCATAACTAACAGGGCCCTACTTCTGATTCTGCACTTATTGCCATCTCTCGCCGCTATAGCAACTCGCCAAATAAATAACATGGCCGCTGCACACGTAAGCGTATTAGGGCTAGCATGGTGAGCTTTTTAGTTATGTGTTGAGTTTCTGAACGCTGCACAGTCACACCCCTCTTTATCACACCTACAGTAGAGATTGTAAGAATGCGTACAGGAAGAATGGCGTTTGGCAGCCGAAGAGCTTGTGCTGTAGCCGCTTCACAGATGCGTCGGTACTATTTACGCCCGACTCGCTACCTACCGTTTGGTGTTATGCCTGAAGGAAGAAGCATAGAATCAAAGAGAATGAACGTGATATTTCTTCGTGCGTGGCCGGAAGGCACCTCATGCACCGATGGAGTAGATCAAAAAAGTTAAGTAGCACGCGAGGAGATTCGATTCGGCAGCCTGTGTGCTGCTCGGGCGGTGGCCGCTCTTCGGAATAGCGTCCTTGACTGAACTCGACAGCTGCTTATCCGCATGCCGAGGACACTGGTGTATAAAACTGTAAATTTTACAGATTTTGAAGTAAGAAAACGTGATTGAGAAGTTACATTTTGCGTTCGTATGCGCACGTGCAAGCCCGTGCATGAACATGCATAAAGAGAAATTGTATCCCCGCGCAGAAAAAGATTTCTGTGTAAGCTTAACAAATGTATACACGGGTAAACAGCCTCACGACAAACACGGCAAGAGTGCAGCCTTGTTCCCTTCCGCTGTACTAAATAATTTTTTAAAGTGGGATAACGTTCAGGAATACTACTTCCGTTGTGACATTCCAGTGTTCGCGTAGTGATTAGATTTTACTTAATAAAATAAAATGTTCAGAACAAATGTGCCGCCGCAAATTTACCACTTGGGATATCTCAATAGTACTATTATTGCGCCTTATTTACTGTATGTGGTCATGCACTTTTGCAAGACTAACATAAGTGTTGCAGTCTCTACTGAAATCATTTTACTGAAATGTTTGGTCTGGCTTGTCTGAACAGCCCTAACTAAAAATTATGCTGCTAGAAAACAAAACAGAATTTCTTAAAGTCTCTGTGACCATTCTTACCAAAACAGCATACTTCTCAATGCCTTTCAGGACACGTTTTTATAGTGTCGTGCAAGTGCAGCAAGTCTTACTGTAAAGCGATATTTTAATGTTGGTGGAATCCTTAATTCTATATTCAGAATTCGAGGAAGAAATGAACAGCTACCTAAGTTCACGGCGTGTGCATCACACCAAGAAAAACAAAAAAGGTCCACAGAGTTCAACCAAACAGGTAAGGAAGACATTGTTTGTTTTTAAAATGTATTAAGTACATACGGCTTCCTGCCTTGCTGCTGGTTAGAGTGATTGAAAGAATGAAGAATGTGTTAATCTGCCTTGTAGCGAAATTCTTTACTGGGCTAGTCATAGGTATTGCGTGCGAAAAACTTTACATGCTCAGCTTGTCGTAAGTTGTCGTACACTAAGTTAATGAATTGGAAAGTAGGCGCACCATAAAGCAGTACTTGGAATCTTGGCAAACTCACACGAAACCTGCGAACATAAACCCTCTCGATTGCGCAAGTGCACGGCAATCGAGGCCAACGAAATAGGCAACACTTTCTCAAAAGTGGCTGGAAGACTAATAGTTGAAAGGGAGACAATGAGTAAAGCAAACGTGCTAGCTTTGGAGCCAGCCGGCCAGACAGTCTTCTCTTGAAGCGACTGAATAAGTCTCGAAACGTAAAGACAGCTTTCATAACTGAAAACCAAACTTGGCTAGACAGTTTTTAATTTAAGGATTTCGTCCAGCCAGATTTCTGCTGAATGTTTATCTTTAAATGTCTATTACATGCTTGAATGCTACGGCTCTAGGTAGTTTCTATTTCAGAGCATTCGGAGAGGGGGAGGGGGCACCCGCTATGTGCTGTGCCTGTTCGTGAAAAATTTATGTTCAGTGAATGAGAATACGAGCTGGATTGCTGGTCAGTGTACCATATCAGTGCTGATGTTGCATGTACTGTGTTGGGTGCTACGAGTTGCTTGTTTCTGTGATTGTGAAACTAAGCTTTTTATCGTGTATGGTAATTGGTGTCGCGCGCGAAACAGAAGGAGCCATATTATCAGTCACAAATACGCCACATCTGAGTATGCGCGGCACCAATTGTGTGCCTGCCCTGCAGTTTCCACAGTTCCTTATCTCGGCAGCCGAGATGGCGGCTTTGGCCGTCGAATCGCTGTCAACATTACGAAATCTAAGTAAAACAACAAAAAAGAAAAATTGTCGCTTCGTGATACCATATCACAGGCGACAACGGTTTTAATTCGTCTTTCTTTCTTGTTTTTTTGTTTTGTTGAAAAATCGCTCTGAGCGCTTTTGATGGCCAGAGCAGTTGTTGCATTCGCGGTCATAATCAGTGATCAGTATTGCGAGGCAGGCACACCACTGGCGCCGCGCGTGCACAGATGTGGTCTATTGGCGACCGCAGGTGTCACCCATGCTGTTTGCAACACGACGCTCCGTCGTTATAGACAGCCGAGTTGAGCATTGTACAAACATCGGATAATTGAAACTTGGACGCTGTATTCCGCCTACATACTATTTTATTTCGGAATACTCCTGCTAGGTGGCAGCAGTGACTAGAAAGTACAAAACACAAGAAACCTAGGTGATTGATATCGTCGAACGCACTGCTTCAAACATGGAGGCGTGAGTTGCCAATACTACAGTTGACGTTCAAAGCATGAAACTTCCAAGTTATTCTCTCGCTGAAGGGCAATCACTTGTGAATACGCCCCGTACCGGTAGACCGGCTGCGTACTCATTGAACTTTTCCAGACAACTGGTTGGAACTTTCTTGAAATCTTTGGCCCACAGTTCGTAACCTGGAATAGAATGCAAGGTATAAATCAGTGCCACAGAATACGACAAACATGTTCCTAAGCTGAAAATAATGGCTCAACACAACGTGAAACGATGCATAGTTATGAAACAATTAAAAAAAAGTATTCTTCGGTGTGGTGTTTTTGTTGTAACCTACCAGATATTCATACTTCTTCAGCATACACAGTGATAAAAACTCAAGTATGTTTATCGATTCATCTCAGAATAATTTGCGCACATTCTGAAACAGAGTAATAAATACTTCAAAGTATACGAAGGCCTGTAATGCTAAATGACGCTTCTAATCTTACAAAACACGCCTTGAAATAAAGTACGCACATGACGCAATGTGTGCAATGTGTTCTCGCTGCATTGTACAATTATTTCGATTGTTGTCCGTAGCTTTGGCTGTTAGCACTATATCCAAAGGCTATCTTGCCTGCTGGGTCTCATTACTCTATTGAGGCTGTGTTCAAGCCCCAGTTTTGGGGTCACCCATATTTTCATGAGTTTCATATGCCACCGAATTTGAGAAGCAGGTACAATAAGCGTTTTCCGTTAAATACATAGCGATAGGCGTGTTATCGGTACGAACAATCCCGCGTTACTGTTTAGGATAAAATTATGAGGAAAAATTTTTATATGCACGCATAAATGTTGCCGATATTACCAATCAATAGCGGGTGGAATACATTCATTGTTTTCTACTAAATATGTTTTTCTCTATGTTCGCAAACAAAATATTAGTATTTCGATGCCCCTGTGGTGATAAACGAATGGCAGACTGCAGTTTTAGTGGATTAGGGTAGACGTTAATTCAGCGAACGAAGCTTCTTCATATATATATGGTGTTTTTTACTGCGATGCCTGAGACAGCGCCCAAAAAGAGAGTGAAAATCAACACTTCGAGCGCACTTGCTTGAATTGCTTATCTTACATTTTCTTGGATAAGCTAACAGTTTTAGGTGCAGAAACATTTGAGTCGTTGTCATCAATGATACGGGTCAATGAATAAAGGTTGGACAAAGCTTCGTATGGGAAAAAAAGTTATATAAACTATTTTTATGTGCACTTCTTTTAGATGGCGTCTACAACACGTGCATATTTTACAAGAAAGAATATCAATCATCTATTTTCGTCGCAAATTAGAACTCCTGAACTGTGCTCTATGTTAAGCAAAGAGAAAAACAAATAACAGGCAGCTCATTCAGTTATCTAGTAATTAAATTCTTGAAACACTCAAAGTGAATACTTCAGGAAAAAATTCACGATACCTTCGCGAGAGCGCTGTGCTACAATTTCTGGTAGGAATGGAAGTCATTAAAATTACGTACCTCCCTCAGTTCCGTCTGCGCCAAGAGCGTAGACCACGTAGCAATTGTCGGCAGAGTATGCGAGGACGTCTGTGAAAATTTGTCCATCTACAAGCGAACATAAAAAATGCATAGTGCATGACTGCAATAAGCATGTGAAAGTGTTTAGAAGTAGATGCATTAATGATTGTTAAAGTTTATTATCGCACCTATTTATTTATTGGCAATACGGGGGATCCAACCTTCAACCTTAGGACAATGCTTCTGGTTTTTTTTTTGCAGTTGAACCAGAGAAGTTGGGAATTACAGCTTTATTTCAGTTATATCTTTGTTTTACGAAACCCTTGAAGTGCTGAGCAACATCACTATAAAACATTAGGATGAGTGTGCGATGCTCCTAATGCTGCCTGCTGCGGTTAAGTAGCATGAAATAGAGTTATGAGCCGAAAACTAACCAATGCTGTACACAACATTGCTCAAAGTGTCAAATTTGTGGAAATGTGATCCTCGTTGGTAATGTGTGAAAAGTCTCAATGCTTCAAAACATACAGAAGTGATTTCTATACTTGGTGACAATGTGTGCAGTTCGTGAAATCTTGAGTGATTGTCAAACATGAAAAGACATTTGAAAAAAGAAAAAAATACAACGCTATTCAGCTTACCCCTGGGAACTGACTTAAAGCCGAACGATTTTCTTGATTTATGACGCGTTCACAAGCAAATCCCACACTAGATGCGTCAAGGAAGCGAGAAACCAGGGAAAATGTGCTACACTATTTGAAACTCAACACAACAAGATGAAAACCAATACAGACTGCTACGATAATAAACAAGACGGATTTAGATAGCGTTTCTTTGTCTGGGAAATATTTATTTTTGACTCAGTGCACTAGCAGGGCATTTCTGTTACCTTTGGTGGTGTTCTTTAGGGCAAAAGTCAGACAAACCTCAGTAAGTTGCAGCAATTATAAGAGAAAATGTTTGTGCTCTTCTGCTGTAAAAAACAGCGCGTAAATAAAATATTTTGGCATAATAAATTTAGCTTGCTGTCCTTTTACATGGGTGTTTTTACAGCTGTTTTACTGCGAATATTAGCAACAGTGCCTTCAGGCCCCTATTGATCCTAAAAGTGCTCGTGATTTCATTTTATGGTTCAGTGACGCACCTCACTGAGTCTATCAATTCCTCCAATAAACATTTACTTCACTGGATAAATTTCACTGGTCACCTCCTTTTCACATATCATGAAAAAAGAGCAAGTACACAATATTTCAGAGGAAGTCGCAGTGTTCTTACAGCTAGTGCTGGCATAAAAATTCCGCCCACACAAAACGCACGCCTAAGATCTTGCTGCATTATCTAGTCAACGGTAAGTGTTTAAAGGGCCACTCGCCAGGTTTGACTAGTTTGAGCTGATAGCGCAATGCGTAGATGAGACGTTCATGATAACGTCTGCCACAATTTGCAACGCTACGCGCCGCGGAAATGGGTCAAAATTCAAAACGAACGCTGCTCCTCTTCCCCTCTGCCGGCACACACTTAGAGAATGAGGGCATGACGTGGACGTGTGAATGGCCCTACGTACACAGCAATGCAGTGACGTTGGTCATCTACGTAGATGACTCTGCTCTGACGTTGTCAGCAGTATACCACGTGACATGGCAAAAATTATTTAACACAATATGTGTAGCTTATGTATTTGTTACTTCAAGAGAATAATAAAACTTGAGATAGATAATGAGACGGCTAAAAACTGTGCGCGTTTTTCTTTCATTATTTCCGTGAAACGCTACGGGATGCGGGGCTAAGGTGCCAGCGTTTCGAATGCGTTCGTGTCCCCGTGGTCAGAGCATTAAGCAGACGACCGCCGTGGAACGCTCTTACGCGTTCGTGCACTCATTGTGCTCATTTACTCTACCACGTCTAAGCCAGCGTTTCCAAATCATCCCGCAGAAACAGGCAGAAGACGACAAAATAATGCTGGTCAACAAAGCAACGTCGCTCACGTGCTTGGGGGATGCACTTGTTTGGGCACGTCTTGCGCATGTCACCTCTTGGTCAGATGCCGGAAAGCGTGGGAAAGAGCTTTGGCTTGCAAAGGCTACGCAGAGGAGCGGCAAGGGTTTCGAGCTCGTTTCGCGCCGCTTCAAAAAACCTGTTTTCTCCACTCGTGATGAACCGATTCGAAAATTTTTTGTGGCAAAATGTTCCTCATCAGACACCCAACAACTTTCTCTGTCTAACTAAAATTCGGTATGGGGACATGGTAAGTGGCGCTTTAACTTTTCGGATTTACGCTTTGTGCATCCAAAATTAACATAAACTGATACAGAAGGCATAACAGCGAAACTTACCTTTCGTAACGTATGTGATTGCGTTTTCTTTACTGTAGCCGTACATTTTAACAGCAGTTGCCTTTTCTTGAGAAGTTTGGCTGGAAGTTTTGTAGAAAAAGTGTGCAGGTGTAACATGCAGGCTCAGGTTCATGCAACAATATTTAGGAGACACAATATCCTGAAACGCTTTTCTTACAAAGATAGTATAATAAACCATATCATTAAAGCCGACCAGGTTATCATTGGATAATTTGCTAATGAAAACGAGGAATAAAATTAGGTCTGCGTTGTCACAGAAACGTAAATATAGACAATACGGCCCGCTTTTGTATAGTGTGGAACACGCTGCGTATATAATAGTATAGTAGGGTTGCGAGATATTTAACCGAGTATTTTTCTTGCTTTTCTAAAATTCACGGCCATGGGGTGCCCCCATCTCCGAATGCTGTTATATTATAAGAGGTGCCGTTTTACATAACGTGGCCCTGCTGCTCACGTAGACAGCCGACTTTACTCTGAGAAGTAGCTTATCACTGTTCAAGAATGTGTAGGCCAAAGATAACGCCGCATTGATTGATTGATATGTGGGGTTTAACGTCCCAAAACCACCATATGATTATGAGAGACGCCGTAGTGGAGGGCTCCGGAAATTTCGACCACCTGGGGTTCTTTAACGTGCACCCAAATCTGAGCACACGGGCCTACAACATTTCCGCCTAAATCGAAAATGCAGCCGCCGCAGCCGGGATTTGAACCCGCGAACTGCGGGTCAGCAGCCGAGTACCTTAGCCACTAGACCACCGCGGCGGGGCAAGGCTAACGCCACATAAACTACCATTGTATCATCGCACCAATTGTAAAACCGCTTTTAAACTGGCACCACCGTCTTTCATTATATATTCTTTTTCTACTATATCAGTACACTTTAGAGCAGAATGTAGTAATTTAAAAGCTCACTCCCCCAAAAAAATTCTCGGGAGAATGATACTGACTGCAAAATGTTTTGAGTATAAATACAGCAGTAAAACTACTTAGGTACTATGTGGTACTTTTTTTGCTTGAATTTAGGAGGTATGGTTAAAAATATCGAAGAAGAAGGACCATATGATCAATGACAACGTGCAAGAATCAAAGCACCTACTATCTTAATCATAAAAAATGTCAACAAAGGGATAGGGTGGCAATCCACATTGTATGGGCCGCCTAGCGTCAGTCGGCTAGCCCGATGGTCCGCATCAACTTCAATACGCTTTCCTTTCTAAGATTATTTGTGCCTTCATTTTTGGTCATCATTGAGTTAAATTCTTGCTCTGATTGGCTGTTGGCAGGATTGACATGTGGTAGGCGATGCTGCCTATATATGATGTTCCCTCTTTCCAATTATTTCTGGTGCTTGACGTATCTTTCTCTATCCAAAGTAATTTGGGCATAACAGCAATACTTACGTTTGGTTTTGTATGTGATTGCGCTTTATTGTAAAGTGTGGCATTGAGCTGTTTGGTAATCGATTACTAAACTTCTCAGCGCGAAAAAATTCAGAAAATGAGCACAAGAGACTTCGACGAGCGCCTGATCTTTTGCGTTACTTGTTTGAATTTTTGCGCGTAGAAGTTTACTAATTATTTATTCTCACCAGGTGTATCCTATAGGCACCCAGAAGGCAATTCTAGCGCTACGGTGATGCCGGAAGCAAACAAAGATTGGCGAAGTGCAAAATGAATTCATATTTCAGTTCAACATGCAGCCTCTACAATATCGAACGTCTTGAGGCTACGCAGATCAACAGCCACACTCGCCTCTGCTCGCATTTCATTTTATAGTGTCAGTATTAGTGGCACACTAACTCTTTTTGCGAGGGGGGCTAGCCTACCTCACTCGTAAGCTGGGATGCACACACAGACAGACACACACACACGAATATATATATATATATATATATATATATATATATATATATATATATATATATATATATATATATATATATGACGCTATGAAGAATGGGTGACGTGGCCTGGCTCATACTCCATGTTTATTCTATTGTCACTTCTTCTTCATCTACTTCTCCTAACCCTGTCTACCTTCTGACATCACAAGTTTCCCCCCTCGCCGAAGGAAGTCGCGTTAGACGAACAGAAATTAAAAACTGAACGTGCATGGCCTAAAAGTGAACACTGTCAAAAAAGGAAAGAGTTCCAAGTCCCACGAAATTTCTGTAAACACACTTTAGCTTCACAGGAGAGTGCAGCAGTCCGGTAAGTGCTGGAGTTCTGGTGGGCGAGGCTGGCTGTTACGTACTGGAAAACACAAGTACACATTGAACGGGGAAACTGCAGATGATGAAACTGATTGTATACTTGCAAAGAATGAACGTGGTGTGAATGCTTTGGAGAACCAGCAGCTTGATTTGTGTAGGCGTCGCGCTGTCTGCCTTGATTGGTACACATGCAGTGCCACCCGTCTGTGTGTTTGTTTGCCAAGACTGATGCCATGATTTCCGTGTCTTTCCATAATACAGGGTGTGGTTTTGTGCCTTCTTCGTTGCTCTGTGTCCTGTTGTTTGAACAGCTTTGATTGAAGACTGAATCTTGAACTCTTTTGGAGAAAACTTGCGCGATGTTCCTTCTTGCGAAAATGTCTTGAGTTAGGAGACTTGTTTGTCTTATGCAAGAAATATTTAGTTGACGTCGCTTCACTTGACCCGCTTATAGACGCCTTTGTTTAATCCTCGAGTGTTCTTCCAAAGATTTTTTCGTTCGTAGTCGTCCTTGCTGGTGTAGCCCATAGAGACACTGTTGTTCTTTGGCTTGTTTCTGCTGGCATTGATGGTGTTCATGAGGAAGGAGCTGAGGTGGCAGCTTTTTTTGACCATGGCACTGAATTTCTGGGCGAATTGAGGTGGTGTGCAATAGGCAGATGGTAGTCAGTGGACTGTTTTGTTGCATTCAGGGTAATGAAGGTTGTGCGCTCGAATTACTGGAGACTCTTGGGAGGGTCTTGTGACGCTGTTCATAATGAACGCTTCTGGCTCTCGGCAACGTGTGCGATTCGATGCTTCCGAGCCACCTGTGTTGTTAAGAATCCCAGGTGTCCATGGACTCGATGGTGACACCGCAGCAGGCGTAGTTTGGTCAGATTTCAGTCGGAAATATTTGTCTTTCTGTGTAACTAACGAGTTAAGCTGTTCTGATGCATGCATCTGCTCTGCACAGAAGGGACAGAGCCTGGCTGAGTATCTTCAGGGTTCCTCACCTCTATATCAACCGCAGTAAGCATGTGAGATGCGAGGTGAGCGCTGTGAGCAACTGAAGAGCCAAGCGACGGAAAAGTTGGAGGTGTTCGAAGTGCGCGAGACGGAAAGCACTGTGCACAGGGTGGCTCCTTAATGTCAGTGCTACGGTGCAGTGATGACGTAAAGGTTGTTTTTTGATCGCGCAGTTGCCAAACGCGGTGCAGTGAAGGGTACACTTTTCCTGCAAACAGACATGGCTGCCTTGCACTGAGAGTGCGCTTTAATTGCTCTTGTTTCAAGGCCGATTTATTTTAGGTGTCCCAATGCGTGAGCAGTGCTTTTGACTGCGGCGACCGAGCGCGATTGTCTGTGGATGGTCGGTTATAAGCGAATCTTCATCGTAGTCATGATTGTATTTTTTAAACCAAACGATCATTTCTTTTTTGATATTTTCCCAAGACTCGTCGTTTTGAAATATGTGGATGAGGTAAAGTTTAAATGCCTCGCCGGTGACGTAGTCACTGAAGTTCGTAACCATTTCCCGTTCCAACCAAGATGTGGCGGTAGCGTGGAGCTCGAACAGGTCGAACCAGTCCTGTACAGGTCCATCGTCAGCTGCTCCGGTGTACTTGGGGTTGGGAAGGTCGGTCGATGGTTCTGCCATGATGCCGGTTACTGCTTGCGCCTGAGATCACCTCTTCTGTGGTCGACATTCACTTGAGGCGTACTGCCGGTGGCTTAGTGAATGATTTGTGGCTGATGAGCGGCGGCGAGGTCCTAATCCTGTCGACTAGTGTGATGCTATGATGAAAGGTTGACGTGGCCTGGCTCATGCCTCATGTTTATTCCATTCTCAATTCTTCCTCATCTACTTCTCTCCTTACCATCTCTGCCTGTTTACGTCACACACACAACACACACACACACACACACACATATATATATATATATATATATATATATATATATATATATATATATATATATATATATATATTTATAGTTTCTTCGTTATTCGAAGGTCATAGGTTCAATTCCTGCTCACGGGTGGTCATTTTTTCATCCACTTTTCTTTCTTCTTATTTACATTCCATTGATTCTAATAACGTATCCTGTACATTCCTTGGCATTACTGACTGTTAGATCTCGTTAATATTGTTTTAAAACACGGAAAAAACGAGCCTTTAGGTATACACTTGTTTCCCATATATATATATATATATATATATATATATATATATATATATATATATATATATATATATATATATATATATATATATATATTATATATATATATATATATCAGGGAAGATAAATTTAATCACGCGCTCGTACATTGATATGAATTTGCGCCCACAAATAACTACTTGAACATCGAAAACGATCGTTTAGCTCATCGGCTCACAACAGCTTCGACCTAGCAGCGGTAATGATCTATCCTTCAAAAAATAGTTTTACGGAAGCAGCAAATACTTTGTACTTTAACTGGTACATAAAAAGTTTGTTCGTTCCAATTCATAACTGCATCAACATGTCATACCATAAAAAAGCATGAAGAAGTGACGCAATATCATAGGGCCCCTTCTCAGCGCTTGCCTACAGCACTGGACACCAGAGCGCTGAATAGGTGACCCACACCAAAAAGCGCCTACAAGAAACTTTACCCGAGCGGCAATTTCGGCAAAAGTTTACTGTGTTGTAACATTGCTTCGTAACACTTCCAATGTAGCGTAAGAACATAAGTGAGTGATTACTACTGTGACGGAAAAAAATTGCCTTACTTGCTGGTTTCCTCAGCGTGCAGCCGAGAATGAGGTGGTTCAGCACCCCCCCCCCCCCCTGTCACTGTCCAAAGGGAGGTGGATCAATCCCCTCAAAAATTTTCTTTTTGGTGGTAGGGGGGGGGGAAGCTTGCGTCTCCTTTGTGGCCACGACTGATGCGCCGATGATAAGTATATACTTCTGCACTCAAACTACTCTCCAATCCTCTATTTCCTAACATTGCTGCTACCTGTTCCGCATTATACGTGTTTGCGGAAACGCTTTACTAGTAACGCCGTTACCGGTAACGCATTACTCTTTTAGGTATTTTATTAACATACTGATTAAAATTTCGGAACTGTAACTGGTAACGTACTGCCTGCCGTTAAGATTTTTCGGTAACACGACGTGCCAGGTTACTCGTTACTTTTTCAATGCGAAGATGGCACATTCCCAGAAGTTGCCCCGACAAATTGTTTTGTTGCAGCGTCGGACCGCTGTCGCCTACCTGACATCGACAAATAAAGCGTGGACGGAGTGTAGTTTGAGAAATTTGGGGGGTGTGGAAAGGTATCTTTAGCAGGCACCGATTTCCAGCGCGGACATAGGACGGTATAGAGCACTGTGGCTCGTTTTGGAAAGGCTGGCTATCCTAAGACGTTGCTGATTGCTGTCGCCGAAAGCACCTACAGAGCTCATAGCCACGTACAACGGGCTGCAAATTATGACGTACAGGAAAGCATGGGCAGATTCGAAACAGTCGATATCATTTGTAACAAGCATCTGCTTTCTCAGTGCACACAGGTTGAAAAGATCGGCTGACGCGTTGGTGTGCGTGTGGTTTTTTCGGCCCCTCACAAGTTGGCCTCGTTCTCACAGAGGAACAGTTCGTTCACGAGACACGAAGTTGGATGCCAGGTAAGGCATCGTCATCGATTTCTGGAACTTGTGCGAAGGGGGGGCGTAGCCTACAGAGCTTCTCTGTCGTGTTGAGCCTGCCACATCGGCCAGAGAGGCAGGTGTTTCCATGGCTCTATTCCAAAAGCACAACAATAATGTTCGGAACAAGACCGACGAATTTCTGGCTATTCCTTGTTATAGCTGCGGCTGCCACCCTGTGCTCGACAGCTCCACAAATTTCTACCGGCACACAGCCGATAGCCTGCTTTTGTAGCTCCGCCCAACAATCTAGGAAGGAAGCGATCCTTCTCTCCATGAAACTTGGTTTCATAGACCTTTTTCTGCTGCGGAAGCGTAGATAGCTGACGAAGCGCTTTTGCGCCCCAATCTGTCTCATCACACGAAAGTTGCCGATGGTATGCCAAACCTTCTTGCCAACTGCATGATGAGCATGTAATTTGTTGGCATGTTCAATTTAGCCCTTGAAGCAATGGCAGACTGCGTTCTCGTTAACCTTTATAGTTAAAAAGCTCCCGAGCGAGCGAGGCTGATCTATAACACTTTTACATAAACGCTTCCAATTTTCGCGGTAAGTAAACCGGATAAATGAACGAAGAAATGCTTGTGCACAAATATATTCCCACACGAATAGGCCGTTAAAACAATTCTTTACGTCTACAAACTTTGCGCATTTATTTTGCCAATAGAAGCAGCTGAAAGAATATCCGTAAATTCGTTGAAAGTCCAGTGATGCGTCCTTAGCGGAGAGCGTTTATCCTTACGAGAATAGTTAACCGGCTAGTTTGTGGGAATATATAATGAGGTGTTGATAATTGAACCTCATATTGTGCATTACTTGATGTTGAGACAAAGCGCTTTACTATGTGCTAGAGTTCGAAGATATCGCATGTAACTATAGAGGCAGCAAACTATGAGCTTTATGATATTCATAAGGTTCAGTGAAATTGGACAAACAAATCCAGTTAAATCAACATTTCGGGTAATATCGCCGTTTGGCTAAGAAGCATTGTGTGAAAAATAACTGTGAGATTTAAAATATACTTACTGAAAGTTCCTGCAGCAAAAGAAAATGATTGATATTTATTATTGCTGAGTACCAGCAGAGGTAACGTTCGTTACTTTTTTTCTGTAACTGTCACGGTTACGCGTTACAGTTTTTTGTTGGTAACGTAGGCGGTAACGCGTTTCATTTATATTGGTTTAACGAGTAACGTATTTGGTTACTTAAATTGGTCACGAAAACGACACTCTGACTGCACTTTCATACAGCCTATAGCGTTCCCCTCTTCAAATGAGTCAGTAACGTAAATATATCAAAACAATATATATTCCTAGGAATGGTTCTTAGGATTCCTATGATTGTCTTCTTGTGACAGGGGTGGAAACCAGTGGGCCCTTTAGCATCGTATGCTTTCTAGGGGCGTTTGTTGGATTTATCGATGCAGTGCTATAGATCTATTTGTAAAATATTGCCTCGATGACGTGGTGTCTCCTTATGTCACGTAAACGTGGACACAGCCACAATGCGTGCCACTATTCACCGATCGACTGTACTCGGGGCAGTCGGGAGAATTGAGAGTATGAGAGATTACTTAGGCAAAGGATCGAACTGACTACGTTCGCATTAGGCAAAGAATGTTTTCAAGGTTTTCAGTCACATCTTTGAGTAGACTTTGTATTGATCTCTCGTCCAAGCGGCAAAGAAAAATGATATTGAAACTGGTCAACGTGTCATTGTCCGACTGCTAAACCTCTTCTCCCGTGCAAAGGCGTGTGGCCCTGTCGGCTGAATTTATTGATGTTTTTGAAGGCTTCGATGGCTGTTTTACTTCGATATTGCCGGCCCCGCCACAGTGATTTAGAGGCCAAAGTACTTGTCTGCTGACCCGCAGGCCGCGGGTTCTAACCTGGCTGTATCGGCGGCATTTTCGAAGGAGGCGAAGATGCTGTAGGCCCATGTGCTCACACTTTGGTGCTCGTAAAAAAAAACCCACGTGGTGGATATTTCCGGAGCTTTTCACTACGGAGTCTCTCATAATCATATGGTGGTTTCGAGACATTAATCTCCCCGTATCTTCTATATTTTTACACAATTTCTTATTTCACCTTTCGTTTTCTTTCGGTTTTCACCCACAAAGTCTTACGAATGCTCAGACTATACAGCGCTCAATTCTTCAAGAAGGTTCGTGATCTCTGTATATTGATCTATTAAGATTGCTTGTAAGCACGAACACTGGATAATATTTTAGCACTTATGCGAATGCAAGTGATATGCCTGGAGTTTTCACCGGCATATGTAAAAGCAGTGGCGCGCTTCGCCGCTTGTCAGTTTATTGATGGCTAACGCTCTGTTCGCCTTTATTAGTGCCAGTGTGCGGCTTTCATCTAACTTCCCACTTACCACCCAAAAGTATGGCCAAATAAACAGTTTCATCAAAACATTGACGTTGCTATATTCGTCTGCGTGACGACCACATGACAATATTGTGTTGATTTTTTGCATATCAAATAAGCAAGAAAGGTGTACTTACTAAATTGCATCAGCATCATTCATAAACATGAAAATTGCGTCAACGCTCTTCTCATTCTCATTGAAGGTGTCAAATCCAGCATACAGACATCTGAAGTTATTTCCCCACACTGGGTCATTCTTATAGGTTGCTTTTACCATGTCGTAAATATTCCCAACACTATTTTTGAGATGCTGAAATGGAATTTACGTAATTATTCTGGAGCTTAGACTGAAAATTTACTCTTTCCAGCAAGTTACTTGATAATTAGTTATGCAGCCTTATAAAGGTTTAATTTTACAGAGTCTGCCTACATCTCCTCCATTGGTGTCACAAGATAAGAATATAGAATGCGAATTTAGACTGAAATTCGCGTGGCCAAATACATATTTGGCTCATACAATTCCAGTAGTGGCCACCGTCCTAGACGGTGGCGGCCAAAGAGTCGAGCGCAAGTGCATACTGCAACAGTCCAATGCCTTATGACCTCCCTCTGGTATTACAAGCTTTGGCTTCACATAATTATAAGAGCATGTATATTCTATTTCAAAATAATCAGTTCTCAGAAATAGTATAAATATCGATGGGCGTCAGAGGCTAGTGCAATGACGGAAGAGACAGAGAAGAAGGTGACATAGTTGAAAATGTTTCATTAGACAAATGCAAGAGGATGCTTTTTTTAAGTTTTTGTGCACAACGATGTTGCGAATATCATGCGTATGAAATACGTCTGTTCTGTTGCCGGAAGTTCTGTTCTCGGAAGCACAAGACGACGTCACTGTGTACGCCTCCTGTCATGATTCGTATGCTGTCTAGAGCATGGATTTCCCGAATCAGACTAGGAAGCACTACTCAGACGCAATTGTTCAAAAAAAAAAAAACTCTAGCAGCAGACGCCTTGCCGTAAGACGTCACTTTAGGCGAAGGCGTACTGACGCTAGTGGTCCGCGTAAATTCCTACAGAAGCGTAGATTTTAGTGGAACATCAATTCGGCCAATCAGATGTGTTGTTAAATTAGGTTTATATTTTTGTGTTAGTGTAAAACATCTGAAAAGTTAAAATAAAATGTATGCATATAGAAGTAGTAATTGTTACGGGTATTAAAGGATACTTCGCTCCGGCTTTTCACCGGAAGGTATGCAAATAAAAGAAAAATCACAAGCCTATTATTACGCCATAAGTGCATAAAATATGTTCCTCTGCATTTATTACTCTTGTAAACAATTGATACTAAATATTCAACTCAAATCCCAAAGTTGAATTCGATGAAAGAGCAAGCGTTGGCCAACGAAAGAAGTTCAATCCTTGTGGAAGTCGGAAATAGACGGGCCTTGCCTACACCTTAACCAACTCAAGTAATAAGTCTACTGATGATCGTTTGTAAACTTTTTGCGAGCACACAAAAAACGCTGTGTGGATATTTGGTGCTGTCTTGAGTTGTATTGTGTCTTAAAAATGTAAACTACATTCACTGGCTTTTACGCTCACATGAAAGAAAAATATCATTCTCCTATATTTCTTCATGCAAAAATATCGCAACCAGGGCGAGTCATATTACCTTCAATGCATCTTGGTGTGCTCCATTTGCCGCTTCATCCACCCAAACTGGCTTATTGCCCTTAACGTAGCTTAGAACTGCAACGAAGGCAAGAGTGAGTACAAGAAGCTTCATGTTGAATTCCTTCGAGCTTCAGTCGGTGGATGGAGTGCTTGAGGGCTAAAGTCCTTCGTATTTATACACGGCGCTATAGAGGATTAACAATGAGGAAACATGAGGACATTTTCGCGTCAATTGATTACCGACAAGGTACTATTTCTAGCCTTGTTCAACGGGTGAATGTTTCGTATGTCATTACATATGGCATGAGAAGCTTGCTTTAGGTATTATTTGTTATTCTTTTTTACCAGCTCCCACCCGGACAATTCATGTTTTTAACGCTCTTCCTTATGAAAATAGTTCTTGGAGGACACGTCATGCGATATGTCTCTACGTGGCAGACATATGACGAAACATCAGAACTGAGCCTGCGTGTGTATTGGACTTTGATGAAGCGGTTCTTTAATTTCAACAACTTCTCAATGTTATTGGCAGCATAAAGAAATTCGTCAGGCCAAAATCAGTGCAAATAATTCCGTAAAAATTAACCCTTTACACTGAAGTAATAGAGAGCATCCTGTTTTCATAACGTTCTGCTTTCAAGTTTATAAGGGTCATCGCGCGCACAAAGCAAAAAAAAAAGGATTTTCGAATGAAGGAGCTTAACATTTTGCTCCAGCAACATTGCTTTGAGAAAAAACTTTGCATAGGGCAAAACGCAAATCGTCTGTATTAACACCATTTAGATACACACCATGCAGAAGCTAATTAGCTAAAAAATTTGCGCATACTTATGAAGTTATTCTTGAGAATCGCGTGAAAAACTGGGCAGCGCCCATGACATGTGCGAAGGGGGCAATGATTGCGCAATACGTCATCAGTCTATTAATAAGCCTCACTACACTCACTGCAGGACAAGTGCCTCTCCCATGTCCCGCGAGTCAACTCGGTCCTGAGTATGCAACACATAGTACCCACACATGCGATAATATCTTCTGACCACCTAAGTTTCTGTCTCCCTTTCACCTTCTCTGGGAATCCAGTCCATAATTGACCAGTGGTTTTCCGGCCAATGTGCCACGTGCCTGGGCCATGTACATTTCTTTTAGACTTTAAATATGATATCCTCAACCCCAGTTCCCTCACCCACTCTGCTTTCATCTTGTCTCATGAGGTTACACAAATAATGTTCCTGTTCGTAGCTGACTGTGTCGCCCTGAGTGGGAGCTGACCCCTCCTTGTAAATCTGCAAATTTTGCTCTGCAGTCAAGGATCGGCAAGATGCAGCTGGTATACACTTACATCTAGAGGAGTACTGGCAGTCTACCAGTCATGGTGATAGAATGCTTAACAAATGTGCTGCAACCCATTCTTATTCTTCTAGGTACTTCTATGTCGTTGTTCGGCTGCAATGTTACTACCTGTCTTTTGTAGATGTACACTTTTACATCTTCAAGTGCACTGCTACCTATCTGAAAGCGCTATTCTCTTCCGAGGATAATATATATAACTTTCGCTTTCTTCGAAGTAATTGAATGCAGGAACAGCGCAACCTAGAAGTAGTAACTTCGTAACTACGGAAGCGAAAAAAAAACAAGGACAGCAAAGGTCCTTGTTTTTCGCTTCCGTAGTTACGAAGTAACTACTTCTAGGTTGCGCTGTTCCTGCATTCAGTTATGTCCTACCAACTTGCCCAAGCTTCCACGCTTAATATCTTCTAATTAAATTTAGAACCTGGCTTTTTGCTCTCCTTGTTTAATTTTGTGATCATAAATTGTTAATCGTCGAGTGAGTTACTCAGCAATGCAATGTCACCGGTGAGGCGCCGGTTACTAAGATACTCTCCATTACCTCCATCCCCTAGCTCTTGCCTTTTTAATGTCTATGAGAACCTCCTTTATCCACGCGGTAAATGCCATCGGGCAAGCCGTGTCTTCTCGTCTTACACTATTCTTTACCTGTACGATGTCGCTTTTGATATGGAGCACTATGGTGGCAACTCATTGTCTGTAGATCTTTAAAAGATGTTTTTATGTGTTTCATCGACACCCTGATTCCTCTGTGTCTGCATGACAGCTGATATCTCTACCGAATAAAATGCTTTCTCGTAAACTATGTATGATACGTATAGTGGTGGGGTGTATTCTCAGCATTCCTCCCCAACAGTATACACAATGTTCCTTGCCTGCTTCGCGCGTCCTGAAGTTTGGCGCGGGGGCCGTTTTTTGCACGTTGCTGTTTTACCTCTGCTTCCTGAGCTCTCGCTTCAGAGCTTGCTTGCTGTATACGTGAACATTGACTACCATATGCCACGCCCTGCCTTCGGAGTAGCAGGTTGTTGTTAGCGTTGCCGCTTCGCCTTTCAGTAGTGAGAGCTCTTTTAAGATCGCTTTCATTCATGACAAAAAGTGCTTGGATCTGTAAAGCTTTTATTCCTCAGCGTCATTGCCGTTTCTTGGAGTGGGCACTTTGCATGAGCTTCGCCGCATTACGGAGAAGACACAGTGCACCAGACTAAAGCGTAAGGTGCTCTGTACATAAGAATAGCGAATACTAAATATCACGCGGCCGCCATATTTGTACCTTCGCCAATGTCACTTACTTCCACTAAGGCTTCCTCAATGGTGGTCTTCGATTTATATTCTTTATTTTATATTCTTAAGACACCACGCAGTACCCGAAGGCTATATAGCAGGGGTATACATCAATAAGCGAATTACATATTTGTGGGCACACAAATACAACTGTGTTCATACCTGAATAACCGAAATACACATTTGTTCGCACACACATTACCATTCTGTTCCTAAATAAATGTACCATCGTTCAGGTTACAGTGCAAGTTTAGAGCACTGAACAAAATACATCTTCACTCCCATTATGAACTTGCTTTTCAGTTAGCGTATTTTTATTTTTATTTTTGCGAAAAAATGAGTTTACATACATGTTGCTTTTATCTGTGTATTTCAGGATTTTACAACTATGATCAAAGCATTTTGAAATAGCATGACGTTTGTGTAGGTAAAACGTTTTCGGTAATTCTATTTTATTATAGTAAATCCTATAAAGAAACTTTCATCTCCGTTCATTGTTGGTTCAGGAGAACACTCCCATTCCAGCTCAGCTTTGATTGCACTGCAGCTCTGCCACTTTCCATACTGTCCCAAGACAAACCTGGGTACACGATTTTGTATTTACTCTTGAGCAGCAATTAGGGTTACTTCGGTGGGGTGCCACACGACACAACCATATTGCAAGATAGGTCTGATGCAAGTGTGTGCGCGAGACGTTTTAAATTGGCATGCCATCATCACAAGTTTCCTTGAATCAGATTTATACCTTGCCAGCTTTGGCTAGGAGAGTGTAAACCCGCGGCCCCTCTGAACGTTTAGAATGTTGAAGCACACCTAGGTACTTGCATGTATCATCTTGTGTTATCTGCAAAGTGTTCAGGTGGTGACACGACGGAAATGGTTTGATCCTTTTTGTAAGTGAATTGTATACACAATTTGTTATGTTCAAAATATTTTTCCAACCGATACGCCAAGTATAAATGAGTGATAACTACTGCTGAAGTCATCATGCATCTCTGTGATTTGAAATTTTCAGCACACTAACCATTCGTCAGCAAACAACCGTATAGAAGATGAAATTCTTGCTGAGATAGCATCGACATAAATTAACAGTAATAGCAGACCCTGAACAGAGCCCTGTGGTGCCCCTGAAGTAAAATCCGCGCTTTCAGAGTATTTCCCCTTCATTACTAGGGTTTGTCTTCTTTGAGAAATGTAGCATCGCATCCAATAAAAAACAGCCTTATCAATGTGTGTGGTGGTAAGTTGAAACAGTAAGAGTGAACAGTAAGAGTGAAAAACACCCTGTTCACCTATTCTACACAATCCACATCCGATATCACATAGTGATAAAATTCACCAATTGTGTTGTGCAAGAGAGCCCTCTTTAAAATTCACGCTGTTTGTCGATAAGTACCTTGTGCATGTTTAAACGATTTATTATTTGTTCATATAAAATGTGTTCAAGTTTTCTATATATTAGTATTTGTAAGCGATATTGGTCTATAGTAACCAATGTTCTTTTTGAACCATATTTATTTATTGGCACCACATGCACAATCTTCCATTCATGTGGTAAGATACTTGTCACTAGAGACCTTTCAAAAATTGCATACAGGTACACAAAAACTGGCATCGCGCTATGCCTGAAAATACGCTAAAAAATTTCATCTGGACCACAATATTTTCCTTAATAAACGTCCTTCAAGAAATTTTCAACTCAATTAACGCTAAACTTGGCAAGAAGCATAGGCGAATTGTTCCAAATAGTTGCACGCTAGTTACTCTGGTTTTTAGGTAAAAATGCTGTGTGGAAATGTTGCCTTGGTATGCAGCTCTGTCTCCATCATCAGTAACAAAGCACCTATATAATATTTGATCATCAGATGACGAAAATACCGACGACAAGAAAAAAGGTCATCCACGGTTACGTCGCCTCTAGCACTCGAACACAGCCTACAACAGATGTGACCGCCAGAAGTGAGTGGCCTATGACTACAGCTCTAGTGGATGTGCCTGCGGTAATCACTCTGTCGTTTGTTTATACCAAGAAAATGAGTTTTTTTATCTGATGAAGTGTGTGCGCTCTCTATATGCATGAATGTCCTCGTCCATATGGCGCGCCTTCACCGTTGCTGGCTTTTCAAACATTTGACTCTCAATAAACAATGCAGCACAAGCGGTATTGGTTCCCTGCTTCACGAAAACGCCAGCTTCTTTTCGCTTTCTTTTATAGATTAGTGGAACAGTGTTTTATAGAGCACGTAAGAAAACACAGCATCGTGACGCAAAATGCTGTGGGGGGTGCGTTTCCAAAACCAATTCCTGTAGGAAGCAAGATGGTGCATTCAAAAGAAAGCAGTGGGCGTGTTTCACCTGCGTGCAATCGGCGCTACGTATTTCCT